GGGAGGGGGGGGAGGTTCCAGAGAGGTGTGCATGGATTCGGTCAGGGGTAGAAATACTAGTACTACGGGTTGCGGGTGGCGAAAAGATGGGGAGGGGGGAAGGGAGAAAACCTGACCTGGCTACAAGACGCGTGCGAGAGCATCTTTCCAGGTGTTACACAAACCCGTATTCCCCTCCCCCGACCCCATGCGGCCACATCTCCTCCTTCCTCCCCATTCAGGTGTGTTGGTATCAATCGCGGATGGACGAGCAACATCGTACGCTCTGGGGGAGCTCCAGAGCCGCGGGACGTTCTTCATAGGGCCCGGGGCTGAGGTGTACGGCGGCATGGTGGTGGGGGAGCACAGCCGCGATGATGACCTGGACGTGAGAAGTGCGACTTGTTGACTTTTGCACACGTTGTGACGTCCCTCCCAAAGTTAAAACACCACACCCTCCCTCAACCCACCCACCTACCCACCCACCCAATCAGCACCCTTCCCCCGGGGGCCGCTATCCAGCTGCTGTTTTGTTTTCCACCGCTAATATTTTCCAAGCTTTTTAGATATCAGCAATATTTGTTCAACTTCTGCATTGTCGTGTACTTCCCGCCCTCTCGCCCCCTCCACCCACACCAACAAAACTCCGTGTCAAACCCCCGCCCGCCAGGTAAACCCTGTGAAAGAGAAAAAGACCTCCAATGTACGGCAAGTTACGGCGGAGGAGAAGGTGCAGCTGGCGGCACCGCGGGTCATGAACCTGGAGGACGCGATTGGGTTAGTGGGTGGGGTGGGGGGACGTGGTTGGAGACTGAGCTGCATGCGGATAACCTTAAGGCGGTGTGTGTGTGCGTGTGTGTGTGTGTTTTAAGTGTTTTACGTCGTACACCTCGTGACCTGTGGGGACGACCTGGCAGCGCTGGCCCGGGTCCGGTGCCCCCTGCCTTCGCCAAGGAGGGCGGGCGGAACACCACCTAGGAAAGGGGGCGAGAGCTCTCCCCTCTCCGACACGAGCCGAGCCGCCACACCTCCAGATCCGCTACCCCCTAGTCTGCCGTCATTACCACGCCCCCCTTGCTGTACCTGTGCTGCCACCACTTCCCACCCTAGCCCCTCCTCACCCCACCCCTTTCCCCCCACATCTCTCCCCTCACCACCCGCGCCACTTCCCCCCCCTCGCTCTCCCCGCTCCGGCATGTAGCTATGTGGCGGCTGACGAGCTGATCGAGGTAACCCCAGCTGCCGTACGCATCCGTAAAGAAACTCTGGATGCGGGAGTGAGGAGGCTGAGGGCTAGGCGGCAACAACAGCAACAGCAGCAACAGTAGCAGAAGCAGCAACAGCAGCAACAGCAGCAACAGCAGCAGCTGCAGCTGTGATGATTGTACAAGAAGTGATGACTGCAGCAGTTTTATAGCAGCGGTTTCTTGTCAGGGAGAATGGCTGTGCGCACGTGTGTGTGTCCGTTCCTCCTGGGATTTGATCCGTTGATTACTGTGTGTGTGGATTGGTAGGTAGGCTCCAATCCAATCTTACGCCAAGATAGAGGACACGCCAGATCTGTTGTGTGGGGTACTGGGGCAGCAGTTCCCTTCCGATTAGGAGCTGTCATGCAAAATATAATGGGATAGAAGAAGGAGGAGAAGGAGAAGAAGCGATTCCGTTAGCGTAACGTCAGGGTGGAGTGGAGCGTCAACACGCTTCTCCCCCCCCTCCACACACACACAAACACACACGGGTGACAGCTACTGAGGGCCCACCACTCCCCCTCCCGGCCAATCCCCCGCGCCACCGCACTCACCCTCCACCACTCCGCCGCGTGCTGCAGCACTCCACCATACCAACCACCCGCACACGCTGCCGGGCAATCATGAACGCCAGTGTGTGCACCGAAAGCAGTTCATTTCCTCCCAAGGTGATACGGCCATCCGGGATACCGCAAAGTCCATATAAAACAGCCACAGCACAGGAACGGGTGTGATGGCATTGGCTTTTCCCGTGGACTCAGTTAGTGGGTTGGATGGATACGTCATGTCAATTTTACGGATACACACGGGACATGGGATAGGTACACACACATACAGATAAACAAGCTCGTCTCTCGGACCTACCTACAAGGCCAACAAGTAATTATGGTAGAAGTAAGTACGGTGCACCGTCATGATCTTCTGATGGCCACGTCGGCATCGTCATTGTCATCCTGGGGTTGTAGCTGGCGGTGATTGCCGGCCCGTCCGCTACGACGGAGTTGTTGCATGTCGTCGTGATGTGCTACCGTACAGTGTCGTACAGACGTGCTAAGGGCGGACTGGGGGCCAGGTGTGAGCGTCGTGCTTCTTTAAGATTTCTGTTGGTTCGCTTCTGGGGTTGGTGGCGGTTACGGTGGTTGTGACGGTCATGGTGGTGTTAGGATGTGTTCGTGCAGGTGCTGCTGGTAATAAATGCCATTGTTGATGCGCGTGTTTCGCTGTTGCGTGCGGGTGTGTGCGTACATTGATCCGTATGTATGTGCGTTGCATGGGCGGGAAGGGGGAAAATGTACATCTATTTCCCTGACAATATCGATTCATACTAGGGTTTGGCACTACTGGTAACGCGCGAAACCCTAACTCCTTTCTATCTTCCGCCTCAAAACGTCCTAAAAGGTGGGCAAGAACCTAGATGTTGGATGAAATGGACGAGCATGCTCAGACTGAGACACATGGGTGAGTGGACTGGCTGAGTGGTGGGCGATGGCTGGCTGGCTGAGTGATGGGCGGGTGGCTGGTGGCTTGCTGAGTGGTGGCCGGGTATGGATTTTTTCGAAACGGTGGGGGGAAGGGTGCTGCGTCTGTTCTCCCGCAAAAGCCTTAACCCTCTACATTTCTTTTCGAACGGATTGCATTGCGGTACATCAGCAGGTACGGCAGTGTTAAGGAGATGACGCAGGCGGCGGAAGAAGGAGGTGCCGGTACGGTGGCTGCTGGCCGCCGAGGCGAGGCACCCAGTGGTGTTTACGTGGTGTACAGTGAAGTGAAGTTTCCCATCAGCTGTGACTGATGCACAACGGCCCACTGTCATCATGGTTCGCGATATTGAGATGTTGCTTTACGTGGAGGTGAGGCAGAAGATTGCTCTCTTGGGCTGCGTACGGCGACGCACCTGGGGACGCCAGCGATGAGGATGACATCCCAGGACGAGGACGAGGGCACCACAGGGGGGGAGCTGACGGCCAGGAAGAAGGTGCATTCCGCGACAGCAGCATCCGGGACATGGCCAAGCAGCATGTTGGTCAACGGGTGCATGCGGTCGCTGGTCCCTCCTCCGTCGCCGCAGACCATGCGGGAATGGCCTTGTGGACCACAGCTCAGGTCGCGTGACGGCAGCCGTACGTGGGTACGGCACCTCGCCTGCGACGCCGCCGCGCTGATTGTCCCATACAGTGGCTGCCGGCACCACCCCATGCTGCCGCCAGCTTTGGCGATCATCATCAGCGCCATCAGCGCTATCAGCGCCATCGTGCGGTGGAGAAGGCGCAGTGGCCGTTGGCCTTCAGTTTCGTGGCAGGTCTCTCCTGGTTGCGGCTTTCACAACCGGAAAGCGCAAGATGTGCTTATCCCGAGGTAAACATATATACATACATACATCTCGACTAGCGCTCACCCCTCATCATGGCTGAGACTGTCCGGATGTGACGGGGAAAGCTGATCGACACATCGACATGCTTCGACGACTGTCATGACGAGGACCGGTGTGTGGCTTGGGGGGGATGAACGAGTCATAGTCAGGGACATTTTGTTTATGGTTGGGTCGAAGTTAAAGTAAGATTTGGCTTTGGGTTTCTCCAATGCAATCCCTGATGACATCCACTTTCTCCTCGTGAGCAATATCCCCGCACCTGCTCCCGTGCCCTGTGCCCCGACGACGTACGGCAGCCGCCCCGATGATGCAGCTGCTCCTCGCCGCTGCCAACGGCTCCGGGGACATGTATCGATCTGCCGCCGCCATCGCCGCCGGTGGTGGCGGCTGCGGCTGCGGCTGCGGCGGCTGCGGCGGCGGTCCTGCCACCACCACTTCCGCTGTCGGCGGCGCTGGCTGCGGCGCCACCTTACCGTACTCCGTACCTGGCCTGCACGCCGTGGATCGTGAAGAGCTGCTGCTGCAGGTATTCGAGTGCCAACTGACGCGACGGTAACTTGTACTGCAGTAACATTAGTAGTAAGGGTGCAGGATGCAGCAGCAGTGGAGCATTAGCTATTTCGATTTGTGTGTGTCATCCTTGCACAGGGGCCATTAGCGATTGCTGCGGCAGCGAAGTGGAGCATCGTAGCTCGTTACCTGCCTAGGCTCTGGATGGATGGATGTTACAAGCTTCAGCGAGCTCGTACGGCCCAAACGAACCCGGAGGCTCATGAACCGCTTTGACAGCGCCGTCGATAGGAAAAAGAAAAAAGAGAGAAAGTAAACGAAACAAACAAACAAACAGAAAAAGAAAGTTTTACGCGAGAAGAAATCGAGTGTTTATGAGAAAGAAAAGCGTCAATTTGACCCTGAAAACACAATTGCCTGTTATCGCCGAGAAAGTTAGGTAGCTAGGTGCTCATGTCCGGAGCGGAACATCTCAAAAATTGCATTTGCAAGACCGCACTGATCATCCACTTGCATGGTATCACGGATATCCGCGTTGACGGGCACACCGAGGTCCCATAGCTTCTGACGTGCAGACACAATCGCCGGACATTCTACCAAAAGATGTTTCTCATCCTCAATAGCTCCATTGCTACAACACACAGCGCACACGCGACGCTCCCTAATCCTGTTGCTCTCACTGTTGACCGCCAAGTCGGAGACACACAAACGAAAACGGATGAGGGCACGATGATGCGCCGGGGGGATATAACCCGCGTACGGCTTCGGTGGCCCCATCCAGTGCTTATGACGGCGCATCTTCACGCCGGGCTTCCTACCGTCCGTAACGAAAACTCTAGGGTCCACAGCCAGCCTATCATTCGCCCAATCATCGTTGACACGTGCCCTAAGGGTGTCCATCAGCGCTTCGACATCAAGCTTGCAAGCCGAGGAACGTCTAACCCTCATATCAATGCCTCCCCCGATTGCCTCCTCACCCCTAGGCTCTGGCATAGGCACGTTGCCGTACCTGATCCTGGCTCGTATCTTGATGGTGTCATGGCTTGGATGTACATCTACGTGTACTACATGTACGACACAT